CCATGGTTTTCACTCCCAACATTTTTTAATCATTTGTGTTTTGCTTTGTTTTCATCCTGTAACTGGCAGCCCGTCGTCACAATGACAGCAGAGGAAACCATAAATGTGAAGGAGGTGGAGATCATCAAGGTGATCCTGGACTTTCTCAACTCCAGGAAGCTGCACATCAGCATGCTCGCTCTGGAGAAAGAGAGCGGCGTCATCAACGGGCTCTACTCAGACGACATGCTCTTCCTCAGGTAAGTGAACTCAGTGGTCACTCTGTACAGACTAGATACAGGTGTGTAAGAATTACTGTGAAGTAGGAGCGATGGGAAACTGTTCCAGTCAGTCCAGTAAGTTTAGTGTTTCTGATAGCATCTTCTATGGTGAGGATAGTGTAACACTGCACCTCCACACTGGATGTTTGAGTGCTGCTTTGGAAGTAAGCCAGTCTGCTGAATCTGAGTATTAAAATACATTTTAGTGGTTCACCAAATAGTGTCAAGTTTCTGTTATACGCTGTCATTTTGTTGTAGTAAACACAAGATATTCAAAAAACCCTCGCTCCCTTATGTTACTGTGAATCTTCTCATTCGTAGGTCATATAAATATTTTGTTTCAGGCAACTGGTCCTCGACGGGCAGTGGGATGAGGTCCTGCAGTTCATTCAGCCTCTGGAGTGCATGGACAAGTTTGACAGAAAAAGGTGAGGCTGCCTATTCTTCTGTTGCAGCTTTTCACATATTCAGTTCATTTTACCTATTTGACACTTTGTCGCTGATAACTAAAACAAACAGGCGATGTAATGTTTTCCTAAGTGTATGTAAAAATAGTCAAAGGTCTAAATTTTGCCACCAGGTTTCGTTACATCATCCTCAAGCAGAAGTTTCTGGAGGCTCTGTGTGTGAATAACGCCATGTCTGCAGAAGACGAGCCACAGCACGTAAGTCAGAAAACTAAAGACTGTCATCAAAACCTCCCAAACAAAACCTGAATTTCCAACCTTTATAACAGTCACGTGTTGTTAGGCTGTGAACAAGGTGGCCCACTGTCAAGATAAAAACAGGTAAAAACAGTTTGTAATGTGTATTGTTTGAAAAGGAAACAGTGGAAGTCTGCTTAAAAGCTCTCTCTATGTCTGTGGGTCTGTGTTTAATGGTGGCAGCACTGACATTTAAGGAGTGACTGATGGCCACACTGCAGTCAGAGATTATCTGGATTAAGCTCTTTATTTGCTCCTTTGATGAAGTTGTTTGCTGTTGTGGATAAAACACTTAACAAAGATCATCTGTCCACCTGTGACAGCTGATTATGACTGTTTTCTCCCTCCTTGTTCTGGATCGCGTACACCAATAGGACAGCATTAGGAACAAGGATCAGGAACACATACTTTATAGGCTAATGCTACGGTGGTAAAGTGGTTAGCACTGTTGCCCCACAGCAAGAATGTTCGGGGTTTGACTTCGCAAGCCGGGGGCTTTCTATGTGGAGTTTGCATGTTCTCCCTGTGGTTGTGTGGGTACCTCGGCTCCCTCCAACATCATGTTTGGTTAATAGGTCGTAGTTACAAATGAGAGCATGAATGGTGGTCTGTCTCGATGTGTTAACCCTGCAATGGACTGGCAGCCTGTCCAGTGAGTACCCCACGTTTTGCCCAGTGACAGCTGGGATAGACTAAACTCCCCCTAAATTGGGTAAAAGGAAAATAGATGGCTGGATTTCTTGGTAATAGATGCGTTATTACATGTACCAGACCAAAAGAGTCCAGACATATTTAACTTTCAGAGCCTTTTTAAATGTTTTGCAGAAATAATATGTACATAATAAAATATTCACATTGTCATTGTCATAAACCCCTGCTGAGGTTATAAAAGATTCATATGAGAGATGATTCTAATTTCTCTGTTAGTCCTGATTGCTAATAATTTGAAGTCAGACACACACTATTTTGTATAATCAGACAACCAGACTTGCGTGAAAACTCCATCTATCCTCTCAAATTAGGCTAGCTGTGAGTCTGCTGTAACATGATGTAGTTGTGGATGCTGCCTGTGATGCTTTGTCGGCGCCATCATGTCCTGTTAAACTGGATTAGCTCACACTTCTTTGGACATCTGTGCATATCGTGTACTATTGAGCATGCTCACAGTTAATATTGTAGCTGGGGGTGTGTATTACTTGTGTAACGGGCCTGATTGTGTGCTGGTGGTGATTTTTTTTCAGCGCGTGGCAGTGCGAGAGGGCAAAAACCAAAACAATAGTGTGCTCTTTGAGAGAAGCTTGATTCTGTTTTTTAGAGGGAATCGTCTCCTTGATCATCTGTTACATAAAAATATATATTTCATGTGTTTTCAGCTGGAGTTCACCATGCAGGAAGCTGTCAAATGCCTCCACGCCCTGGAGGAGTTCTGTCCGTCTAAAGACGACTACAGCAAGCTGTGTCTGCTCCTCACACTCCCTCGCCTCACAAATCATGCTGAGTTCAAGGCACGCAGTCTGCTGTTACAGAATAAGACTTGCATAATATCGAAGCAGCAGGAGGAAACTGTGTATGTGTTTTCTTTTGTGTCTCATTTCTCTGTTGGCGTCCCCTCAGGACTGGAACCCGAGCACGGCCAGAGTTCAGTGTTTCGAGGAGGCCTGCACCATGGTGGCCGAGTTCATCCCCGCAGACAGGAAGCTGAGTGAGGCTGGATTCAAGGCCAGCAGGGATCGACTATTTCAGCTGCTTCTCAAGGGAGTCCTCTATGAGTGCTGTGTCGAGTTCTGCCAGGTGTGAAACGCTAAAATTAAATGTAAAGACTGCGGCCTGAGTGAGTTTGTGCCTCTAACCGGTCTTTCTCGGACGCTTATGTGCAGAGCAAAGCGACGGGCGAGGAGATCACAGAGAGCGAGGTCCTCCTGGGCGTCGACATGCTGTGCGGTAACGGCTGCGACGACCTGGACCTGTCGCTGCTCTCCTGGATGCAGAACCTCGCCCAGACCGTCTTCTCCTGCGCCTTCGAACAGAAGCAGCTCAACATCCACATAGACCGCTTGGTCAAGCCTGCTAAGACCGGCTACTCTGATCTCCTCACCCCGCTCATCAGCAAACTGTCGCCATACCCCTCCTCCCCCCTTCGCCGCCCACAGTCCGCTGACACCTACATGTCGCGCTCCTTGAACCCAGCGCTGGACGGGCTGTCCTACGGGCTCTCCGGCCAGGATAAGCGAGCGAGCGCCGGGGAAATAGCGCCGGGTAAAGGGGTCTCTCCGATGTCCCACTCGTTTGCCAACTTTCACTACCCCGGAGCAGGAGGGCAGAGCTTGAGCAGGAGTCTCATGATGGAGAGCTCCGACTGCCACAGCATCTTTGAGGAATCCCCTGAAACGTAAGAGCTTAGATTTGGAGCTTAAACAGACTTCCTGTCTCTAAATCTTTTCCTAGAGATACAAAAAGGGAGCAAGATCCATTATTGATGTTGATTTATTTGATTGATTTTCTGGGGTTTGTGTTTTCTCGGTGAAGGTCGAGGACAGACACACCTGTGGATAAGATGATGGGCTCAGCTGGAGCCCAGAACACGCGTCCTGCCTCAGCTCCGGGCGAAGACGCTCCGTCAGCTGGTTCCGCTGACAGGAATGAGGTAAACATCAGCGACTTTTGCTTTTTGAACTTGTTAGGCCTGTTGCATGCGAACACATTTCCAAACAAGTGCTGTGTTTTATTAAGCTTCCCTAATTGTTTTCTTTCGTTAATGGGTGTTGCCTACAGTACCAGTTCCGATTAGTCTGTATTTGGCATTTTAGTCTTTCTTCACTTCTGATTGGCAGCCCAGGCTTTCTTATCTAGTGTGGATGAGAGTGCATTAAGAAAATCGTACATACACATTTGTATTATGCTTCCTAAAGTCATCACTAGCTATTTAAACATTAATAATATGCTCTGTAACGATTGCTTTGTGTAACCAATGAGGCTGGGGGATCCAGGTCCTGATCCAGGGTCAGTGGAAACATGTGGCTCAAGAGCCTAGGAGCACAGCAACAAAAATGATTCATCAGTGCCCTCGTGTTGCCCGTAAACACATCGTGAACACAGTATCTGTGTCTGTCTGTCACATGGTTTCTATTCTGGGGCCTCTTGTGCAGCTCAGTGTGAAGCTGGTGCTTGCCTCTGCCTTCCCCATCACCTTGGAGACACACAAAGAGGCCAGAAACAGAAGCAGACTTTGGGACCTCTGTGATCTCACAGTCACGCCCCTGCCCTCTCTTCCTCTCTGTTCTCTGTCCCTTTTCCAAGCTGGCGCGATGCCAGCGTCTCTGTCCTCCCCCCCCCGGCACGCGGTAGGTCTGTTCCCATCAGATTGCGAGGACAGGAAGCAGAGGACAGAGGGGGGAAATGATCTATCCTCAGCTCCCTGTCTGACCCCTCCTTCCTCCGCCGATACCTGAACTGGCGTGGAGCAGGGGTCACATGATCGCACTTCTGCCTTCGAGCAGTGTTGAAGCTGCCTGGTGTGGCTTGGTTTGTGCAGCTTTTTCTTTTAAAGCGTTACATTAGAACAGTTTGCATTGTTTCTGCATGAGTTTGGATGTCCACTGTAGAGATGCATTATGTTGAATATAATGGAAAGTACATGTCAAAAAAAGTAATTTGTTTTTGGCTGA